CCCCTTCCCCTTCTGCTGCTGGGGGCAGGGGGCAGGCGATACACGCAGCCTCTGCTCCCTGCCACCTATGGCCAATTGCGCACACACAGGTGTGCACACAGCCACACACACAGAGGGGCATGCACACTACTCTCACTCACTCTCTGCACACGGACACACAGACGCATACATCCTCTCCCTGCCACAAACACAGACGCATGCACAAACAGACATGCACGCAGACGTGTGCACTCTACTCACTCTGCACATGGACACAAACACAGTCTCCTGCCATGAACACACACACAGATATGTGTGCATACAGAAGGGTGTGTGCTCAACTCACTCTACACATGGACACACAGAGACAAACACACTTTCCCTGCCAGGAACACAGATGCATGCATGCATGCACAGACACACATGTACGCACACATGTACACACGTGCGCACGCACACAGATGCAGACAAGCATGCACTCTACATTCTCTGCACAAGGACACAAAGCCAAATACACTACTTGCCATGAACACAGACATGTGTGCATGCATGTGCACGCACACACACGCACTCACACATATATGCACAGACACCCATACATGCAGACAGGCGTGCACTCTACTCACTCTGCACATGGACACACAAACACACTTTCCCTGCCATGAACACAGATGCACGCATGCACTGACACACTTGCACACAGACACATGCATGCAGACACACATGTACACATGCATACACACAGACGCACGCATGCAGACAAGCACGCACTCTACACGCTGCATGTGGACACAGAGCCAAATACACTCTAGCTGCCATGAACACAGACGCACGCATGCACACAGAAATGCATGCAGACAGATGCACAGATGTGTGCACAGATGGGGGCACATGCAGACACACAAGCACTCACATGCACAGACACGTGCACGCACACAAAGATACATAACGCATGCACGCGCGTGCACACACACACCCCCCCCCCCAACAGCTCCTCCTTGCTCCCTCCCGGGCCCTGCTGCACTGACCGGCCGCCCAGCGGCACCCCTGGATCCCCCCACTTCGCCCTCACCCCCGCCCCTTTTATATATTTATAGAGCAAGAGAGAAAGAGCAAGTGTGCGCATGTGTGTGCACGCATGCACATGCATGCTGGAGGTACGTGTACGTGTGTGTGTGTGCAGAAGGGTGGTATCCGGTACGTGAACAATCCTTTCTGCTGTTATTAATACAACCTCGCACCGCTCACCAGGCAACACGCGCCTCTGTGTACCCGAGATCATCTACGGGTCGCTTCCCATAGGACTGCGGGGACAGTAAGTACTACAGGAACCCCCGGGAGTTGTGGCTCAGGGATGGGCTGATGGGCAATGCGCTGGAAATGGATTTGGGGTGGGGAGACCAAAGGGGCCAGAGCCTGAATGAGGACCTGAACCTGCATCCCGAGGGTGGCTCATTTGGAGCTGGCGGGTCGGAGGCCGAGACCGACACATCGGCAAAGGGAGGCGAGAGCTGGGTGTGTTCGCTGGCGGCTCTATGGCCTCCTGCCCTCGGGAGAGAGGGAGGACGCACGGGCACGAAGCGGCAGCGCACTCGTGTGTGAACGGCCCCTCGCCGATACTCCAGCGTAGCGCACACCCTTCAGCCGCGGCTGCGCCACGCTACGGCAGGGGTGTTCGAGGACAAACAAATGTGAGAGCCAAGAGGAGCAGGTTGTAAAGAAGGGATTTTTATTAGTGGGGGCGGGGGGAACAAAAGAAACAAAAAACCACAGCCCTGCTGGAAAGGTCCCCCAGATGAAGCACCCCAGGCAGTGTCCACCACGTCCACCCCGCCAGCGCTCGCGGACACGACGGTGCCAGCGCGTCCGTTCGGTCTCTGGCTTTTATAGCTCCGCGCCTCATCCTGTCCCACGAGAGCCAACGGCAACATGCTACGGTCCGTGGGAAGGAGACGGGCCCAACCCTCTTGGCAAGTGAAGAGGCCGCCAAGGTATTGGGGATGCATGAGCCATGATTGACCAGCACGTGCCCACGGCACCCAATGCACATGATGAGAGAAAGAAATGACCAGTTGGCCCCTTTAAATAAAGTGAAAGTGAAACACAGAGGAGGGAACGATCCAGAAACTGGACCATCCAACAGAAAGGGGAAAAAAATTAATCGTTTATCTAGAAAGAACAGAAACGAACAAAAAAACGCTTTTAAACAAACAAAAAAATAATCACAAAATATACAAATAAATCAGGTACAAAATAAATAGGAGAGATTGGAAATCTACAACAACATCGGAATAATTATAAAACTCATTTGCATGACAATCAGTTTACGAAACGTATACACTTCATCCACGGCTTTCTTTTGTGCTTATGCAGGTTTATGTACACCGTCCGAAATACTGTAGGCAGGACGCTACAACTCTGAAAAACAACGTCATGTACAATATGATACAGACAGCAAAGACCACACGGGGCGGGGGAGGCGACGCGGGGGACTGGCAGCATAACCTAAAGACCGGCGGGGCGCTTGGACAGGCAGGGACGCGCTTTTAAAAGGTGAACTGCAAAGCCTTTGGGTAGGAAGTCGAGAGAGTCTGTGCAGACTTCAGCAAATAGAGG